ACCTTAATGATTCTGTGATTCTGTGAATATGGCCTGGTAAAGAGTGCCACACAGAAGGAGACATCTCTCATTTTCCCAAACACTAACTTTCTTATTGTCAAAAGAGAAGTATTACATTAATGACAATTTTCAATATGCAGTGATGCTCTCAGAAAACCCAGAGATATCCAGAAACCTCTAAATATAAGGTCCTTTTGATATACAAAACTAAGTAATGAAGATAACATTTAAAAAACTTATATTTTCCATTAAAACACTGGTATCTTGCAGTATTCAGCTTTAAAATTACCAGAATTTTCTCAGCAGATTTGTAACATTCTTCAAAAAGCTTTAAAAATCCTGAAAAATTAGGAGATGCTCTAGATAATCTAATAAATGTTTCTAGTGATAAACCACATATAATAACAACAATCTGGAAGTTTCCAAGACCTTTTGCATGTTAAAATGGTAACTATATTTGATGGTCAGAATGAATTGCAATTTAGATGTACAGTTGACATTTACTGGTTCTTTCTTGCTCCAGTATCAATTTGCCTCCTTTAGTAATACCTCACAGATATTGCAGCAATGCTGATGAAAACTACAGCAAGAAACATGTCTTTTTTCACAGATAATACATGTCATTATCAATAGTGTGGACTAAAATGATCTAGGCTGGTTTTGCCTGCTTGCATACCTGTTGTTTTGCTAACAATTTGTCTTTTATCTCTAACTCCATTTTTAACTGTCTTTCCAGAAGACTAGCTTTCTCCATGATAGTTGCTATAGTGATCTCCTTCTGATGAAGCTCTTCTGTCAGGTCAGAGATTTCTGTCTTCATTCTTTCCTGCTCAGAGCAATGGGAACGCTCCTCTCGATAAACATGGTTTCTTATCTGTAGCAAATATGTTTCAAAAAGAAAAAATGTTGTGCAGTAAATATGACTGCATCACTTGCTACCTATCAGTGACTTTTTTTGCTGTTGCTTCCAAGACACTAACTTTTCCAACTGAATAAGAGATTTTTGTGATTGTATAAAAAATGTCTTCATGAGTCAGTGCACATAGGTTTACTTATTTTTACATCTCTTTTCAACCCTTACATTAAATAGGCAAATGAAAGCACAAGAAATGAGCAAAATACAAGGCATTTAAATTAACATTTAAGAAGAATGTAATAAAAATAATGTTAATTATAAGAATTGGAATTTATGGCAAAGAATATCCAAGGAAATGTCCATTCAATAAACTTAAGTATGATTTATTTCAATTGCCTCAAAGTTAATCTAGGTTTAAAATAAGTTTAATGCAGCCTAAATTAACTTAGAAGCAATATAAATAAATTAATCTAGAGATTCTTTAATGAGAAACTATGTTAGAAATAAAGAGTATATACGGTAAACCACTTTATGAGAAATTTTCCTGCCATTATATATACAGTTTAAGGTCAAACTTTCTGCACTATCTCCTATGCAGAGTTCTCCAAAGAATCAACACAAAGACTGTTTTCATAATCTTTCTACTATGAACAACAATTTAGTACTAATAGATTTCTTTATTATATAAGAAACAAAACTACAAAAACCAGCAAACAACCTTTGAACCCATTTTAACAATTCCTCGCAGTACTGTACAAGATCAGTAACAGATGGCGTTTCATTTTTATTTATGCAAACTACATAGAAATACTAGAATTGTAAACAAATAGATGTAGATGCAAAAAACCGAAGAGCTAGATCATGACAACCGTGCCAAAATTGCTGCATCCAAGTCAGCTGCATCCAATTAGAGATATTCCTGCTTACACTGCCACTCAGCAAAACCACAACATGCCTGTAAGAGGCATTCTCAGCATCCTCCACTCCCAAAGTGTTTTGGCCTGCCAAGCCATATGCCATTCCACAGTGCCATGGCACTGCTGCTTGCACACCACACTTCTGAAATGTGCAATGCAATGTGATGCACTGTTCAAACTAACTGGACTGTGCAGCAGATGACTGATTAAGCTTAGCCTTGTGTATCAGTTGATCTTTTAGCATATCTTATACCTGAGACCGCCTACAAACTACAACTTACCTCCTATAGCCTATTTACTCATAGCCTTGCAGGGTTTATTACTTGCGTGGTATGATCTGAATCACAGTGATGCGTAGGCATGATCTCTTCCATTACTTCAATGAAGTAGCTAGATCTGTTGTTAGCGCACAGAATCAGAATGTCAATTCGACAGCTATACAACCATGTCCAGAAATGCAACCATCTATGAAAAATTTTTCATATATGAAAACTTCATGGTCTCCTAAATCCACATATCTCCTATCTTCCTGCTCTGTGCTGCACATGCACATACCCAAGGTCAGTACTTGGCTTTGTTATAAAAATCCTAAATTGCAGTTAAGATCTGGAAATACTTAATAATATGAAATACCTTGTTTAGCTCTTCTCGTTGGTGTTCTTGACTTTGTGCCAACAGTAATAACTCAGAGTTTTTATTTTCTAGTTGCTCAGTAAGTTGTACATGAGATGACTGATGCCTTTAAATAAGAAATAAACAAAACATGAAACAAGCAGAATGTTCAATAACCTTTACCCTACAGTATCCTCTCCACAGTGTAAAACTGTAGAAGACCTGCTTGCTGATGAAAAGAAATAAAACAACCAAAGATTTGGCTGAAACCAGGTTGGATCTTGGGAGATTTCTAGAGATTAGGGACAATGCAGAAAGAATCCTGAAATCTCTTGTAGACTGGTATTTCATATAATCTCAAATAGCTACAGTAGATTAGATAAACCATGAAAAGATGAACATATTATTCAAAGGAGGTTAGGGAGAATCTTAATCACACTACTTCCAAAGTGTTTCAATGCCAAGAAAATGAAAGAAACTGTAAACATATAAATAGAAATATATGAAATGCATTGATTTGTAAAGATGTAAGCAGCATTAAAGCCTTTTACAGAGCCTGCATCTATTGCCTGCAATCTTGTCATATATAATTGCCAATGAAAAAGTTTATTGTAAAATTGTTTAGAATCTGACATTCGAATCCAGAGTATCTTTTTAAACAGACTTAATTTAAATCAAATGTAAGAAAAAGAGTTATTAGCTCAGAAGTATGTAAGTTAAATGTTGTCTTCAACATACATACTTTATTTGAATTCCCTGCATATCTTTATACCGTCTGGTTTTCAATAATTCTGTATGCAACTGTTGGCATTCCAACTGTATCCTTCCCCAGAGAGCATCCCGTGACTGCAGCTCATTTCTCATTTCTGAAAAGTCTGCCTCCATGTTCTAAAGAAACAAGCAAATACATAAATAGTTAAGTAAAACTAGACAGCTCAAAACGCTGTATTTTAACACATCATTTTCGATACCATTATAAATTGTATGAAAGGACATACATGCTTTTATTTTGAGTTTCATTTCTGAAAAAGGCATTCCTTTCATGTCAGTTCCTTTCTCCAGAAATGTCATCTAAAAATCCGATGCTGAATATTCTTTAGTTCTTGCAATGTTCCAATGCATCTGTCTCTGAAACTATCATGGGAAACATCATTCAGAAGTACTTGATTGTACTAAATGCATCTAGAATGTGTAGTTTGGTTGTTTCAGCAGGTTCTGCACCCTAGAACATGCTTCACATGCAAGAATTAGTGCCATAAGTAACTTCCTTTTTCTATTTTCCTAACAGCATTTCCAAATGTATAAGCTTGAAAACTACAAGGCCATAGAAAGACAAGACTAGGTGCATGTCTTCACTAAACATTGTCTGGAAGCTTGGAGCAGATACATCCAGACTTCACAGAATCACAGAATCACAGAAACACTACGTTGGAAAGGACCTTCAAGATCATCAAGTCCAACCATTAATCCAGCGCCAACATGTCCCCTAAACCATGTCCTGAAGCGCCACATCTACACGTTTCTTGAACACTTCCAGAGATGGTGACTCCACCACCTCCCTGGGCAGCCTGTTCCAATGCCTGACCACCCTCTCAGTGAAGAAATTTTTCCTAATATCCGATCTAAACCTCCCCTGGTGCAACTTGAGGCCATTTCCTCTTGTCCTATCACTAGTTACTTGGGAGAAGAGGCCAACACCCTCGTCGCCACAACCCCCTTTCAGGTAGTTGTAGAGAGCGAAGACTTATGTACTTAGATAAAGTGTATGCTCAGTCATGTCCAAAACTAGTTCTATCTGCATGGAGTTAATTGTTTATTTAAACGAACATCACAGCATTTTCAAACAATCACAAAATCACACAAAGACTTTTCTTAGGGAGTACACAAATCTTATCTCTACTTTACCTCTAATTTCTGATTGATAATGTGATAGATAACCTGAAGATACATGTTACATTTGGCATCAGAAAATCTGAATTCCAAACAAAATCAGAATTCCCCAAAAATATAATGAAAACATACTAAGGATAAGAACTTTGAAATGTAACCCACAAGTAACAAAAGTAACAATAATCATTAGATTTTGCAGTAATAACAGCCAGAGAATACTTATTTGTTCTCACCCAAGATCCAAAAGCATGTTCCAGTTTAAAATAAAAAGACTTTCCAAGGGTGTTGTTCCTTTGCCTTTAAAAATATTACACTAAAACCACTAGTATTTTTCATAATTTCTTCATTTTATTTTAATATAGTTTCTGTGTTTAAAAGCAAAAATAAAGCCTTTAAACTGTCAAAAGACAACTGGAATCCAGAAATGACACTGCAAGCAAGGAACTTCAAAGGTTTATTTCCCTTAGAGCCTCATATTAGAATGACCTTCCTTCCAAGAAGCCTGTGGTTTTCCTCTGCCTGAAAGGGCTGTTGAAGACAGATATGAAGCGCTTTTGCGTTTTTTATATGGGCTGCATATACATATTCATTCATCTTATCCTTTGTTAAATTAAGGCTGAGAGAGCTTTTTAAAACTCTGAAATGCAAGTCTGGGCATATACAAGTGAAATAAAGCTTAATGAATTGTTAAAATTGTCTGCAAGACTTGCTTATGATCATCTTCATGATTTCAACATTCAAGAAATAGCTGCAATTATTTTATAATACATGAATCTGGGAGAGGGTTGGCCCTCTGATTTCATTTTGGGGTTGATAAGGGGAATGAATGCTGCACAACTGTGTGGTGGAAGTCATATCATCTGTGGCAGACTGCAGTCATCATACATATTTACATAAACTGTATTTTCTTCTGTGAATTATAATAATAGCAGGAACAGCAGAAGCCACAGCAGCAGCAGCAACAACAATAACTGAAACAGAACTTCAGGTCAAGAGTTTCACATATCACTTCAAAAAATCATTTAGAGATGTACCACTTATTATTTTAGGAAATATCTATTGCACCTAGTTAAAACACCAAAATGAAAATTAACTTTGAACCAGAAAACTTTAGGTTTTGTTTAGAAAATACCTAATGAAATATAACTTTTTAAGAGTCTGTTTCAAGTTGAAAAATTTACCAAATCCTGTCTTTGATTCTGTGAAAACTGTTCCTTCAACTAGCTTGCCATGTTTGATACCAGAAGGAAGTCTCAAAAATATCCTGATCAGCTCCTGTACTAATTATATTCAAAGTTGTTCAACCTTTTCAATACAATTATATGTTGTACTTCTATGTAAATTAGTGTCCAGCAGCTGACTTAATGCAGACTTTCTAACAACCAAGCCTCCTGTGTGATGTTTTCAGGCTGCTTCTCATGTACGGCTGCAATTAAGTTTGTCAGACCATTCATAAGGTAGAGAAATAGTCTGCAGTCTTGTTTGGATCTTCTAAAGTTTGTATTTTCTGTATAGCCAACAAATTGGTCTCCTATGCATTTCACTCTATTGCTGTTTCCTTGCTAATTAATAGTATGAGAGAAACATTTAGAAGCAGACATGAAATGGTGATAGGCATAGAAGATACATCAAGCACAATACTAAGCTCGCTGCCATTGCCATCAGCCTTCTCCCCACCAAGGTTCTCAGCTACTCCTCCCTCCTTTACCCACATCAGGTCCAACTATTCCCATCCTTCACCAAGCACTCCTTCACGGACATCTGCTTACTTCTGTCTGACAACAGGCCTTGCACTTCCCTCTTTCTCATACAGACATTCCTAAAAAAATATTTTCTTTGAGCTACATGTTTTCACCATACATTGACTTTACATCAGTGTTTCCGTTCTGCAGCTATTTGCAAATGTGGCTTTTCTAACTCAGCAGTATTCCACACCACCAGCACAGTGATTCTGCAACTTTCTGCCCTTTAGCTGATAATGTTATGTACATCTAGCTCCACTTCTACTGAAAATGTCTTCAGTGCTTCCTCCAGCTCCTGCATTCTATTCACACGATTCCAAAAATCCGGTTGAAAGATTTTCTTAAAGGGTACAGCACAACAGCATCTACTCTCTCCGTTGTACGGCATCTGTCCACCTGCTCCAATTGCCATGATTTGTTCCACTCCGTATTCTAGTCTCACTACTTTTGATGGCAGCCTTTTTAACAGGCCCCAAAACAGAAGTTTTTGCCTGCATATCGGTAACTTGTATACAGGCAAATGACTCGGTGAACTAATGTGTAAATTAAATGTATAAACATCATATGTGCTACACTTGGCTGTTCTGACAACACCTGAACTTAACCTCCAACACATATATGTTCATTGCTAGAAAGTATATTGTATATGAAGTTAAAACACTGCAAGGTTGTCTATAAACAGAAATAGATTATCTTTCTCCATAAAGAGTCAAAGTTACTGTAGACCACTCAATATATTACTGAACCTTGAAGTGCTTAAATAAATAAGCAAAAGCATAATTTATATATGTTACCACAAAAAATAGCAAGGAGAATCTCATTCCTGATCTGTTTCAAACATAGATAATAAAAAAAGGCTGTAAAGATCTTGTATTATGTCAATATCGCCAGAACTTACATATCACGACCAAAAGAAGAGGCCCAAATAGCTGTCTTCATAGATCAGTGCTATGTTGAGAAAGGGTAAACTAGGGATAAGATAAAAACTGATGGTTCTTCACATGGCTGGCAACTTAAAAATTAATTGACTGAAAAATCTTCTCTCAATAATAAAGTATACCATACACTTTTCTATATACTTATTATTCTCTATTATATTATAGCTATATGGCAGAGTCTACAACAAGGTGTAAATCAGATAAAGAGATTTCATACAAGTCATTCATATACAAGGAACCAAGTAAACTAGGCTAAGTTCCTGTAGATGCTGTGGATATAGGAAAGTTATATAACCCTAGAAAAACAGACAAGAATAAAATATACTACTACATATCAAACATATTTCTGTTTTCTCTTTAAGTATTACTTAAAAAAATTGTACTCACAGCTCATTCTGTGTTCCTGCAAAGAATATACCTAATGTACATATCTTTTATATAGGTTTCTCACTACAACTTTTTAAAGTATACTCCTAAGTAATTAATTCTCCAGCATTAGTTCCACAGTCATCATAAAAAAGAAAAAACATTACTACCTGGCACTGGTTTTGGTACATTTTTAGATCCTCCCGGAGTTTCAGATTTTCCTCTTCTAGTTTATTCTTGTTTATTGCTATTTCATTCACAGTTGCCTTTAGCTTTTCAATAATCAACTCATCCTTTTCACTTTCGGGCTGGCCATAGGTAATTATCTCTTCTTGGTTTGGTTTCTTACTGTTTATTTGGAATTGATAATTCTGGGTCTGCTTCTATAAAACAAGAAAATATTTTAAATGAAATCCAATAATTATATGTAAATTGCTAAGACCAAACCATTACTACTGAAACCATAAAGCTCTAAAAGAGACATGGTAGATGCCCCATCCCTGGAAACATTCCAGGTCAGGTTGGATGGGACTCTGAGCAACCTGATCTAGTTGAAGATGTCCCTGCTCATTGGAGAGCGGTTGGACTAGATGACCTTAAGAGGTCCCTTCCAACTCGAAGTGTTCTATGATTCTGTGATTCTATTTCCTTCTTCACCAGGTTTTGCTTAGAAAAGATGGCACAATTGGAATAGTTTGCATTGCTTCTCTCAAGGATACTTCCTTTTTTTACTCTCATGTTCCTTGCACTCAGTAAAAAAAAAAGTTTCAAAAACTTTCAAGGGCACAGAATTTTTTCAAGGGTTTTTCTCCTCTGCTGTGTATTTCCCTAGCACTTAATGTTAATTAGCCTCAAATGTGAAAAAGGTGATTATGATGACCTACTCAAAACAGTTACCTATAGAAAATAATTTGAGAGACATGTTGTTCTTTGATTCATTGAACTCAGTAGGAGTTGTGTGTGTATGAGCCTCAGGATAGATATTAACCTTTGACTAGAGGGCTAGCAATACATAGTTCAAGTATACACAGCTCGGTTACTCCAGTAACTGTACTATTTTGATATTATTATCCTTAAACTTGGGCAATAATCCTTTGCACATTCTGCAGAGCCCCAGACTCCATTCAGTTTCTTGTACTAATTAAAATACTAAAACCAGAACTTCAGAAAATTGGTATTGCTGGTATTTGTGAATTCACAGGCATCGTGAAGAAGCATAATTGCTATGGTAACTGTTTTTGCTGATCAAAAAATTATCCACATGGATCCCTTTACTGGGAGATTAACAAGCAGCAGTAATCTTTCAGAAGATTGAGAATTAGCTGAAAAATGACAACAAAATATAACCTGGGAATCACATATCATGTGCAGAGATCAAGTTGAGCAAGAAAATGTATAATAAAAATAAATAGAGTTACAAATACTATATTTCATTTATAAGGACTGCAAAAAGGCATGCTTTACACAGCTTTTGATGTCATTGACTGTGTTCCTGTAATTTCTGCTGGCTGAACACCTAAGTAGAACTGACCACTGGCTGCAGATCAAATAAAAAGCCAGAAGAAATTTGCAGGAAAGTTTAATTTTTATAGGTAATAAATTAAGGTCCCCCTGACACCTAAGTTATGGAGTCTGATACACCATAATGTCAAAGCATCCTGTGAAAAATATAGTACAAGACTCCAGCTGGAAATCAAAGACCTCACAAAAGAGGAATTTGAGACAAAGACACAGGACCAATTAATGCTTTTGAAACAGAGAGTAACAATCAATCAGTTGTGTATTTAATAAACTAGTTGGGGTTATGTTACAGTTGTGAAAAAATTGTCCTCAAAGAAAGTTCACTGATGGCAGTGATGTAAGCCTCAACAGAAAAATGTGGATTATCACTGTGAGTACTGTATTTTGACTTGTCTAACTACATGCATCACACAGGAGTTTTGTCTAGTCAAAGCCTTACTTTTTTAAAACATTTGTATGGAAGTTCCATAGTTGCAATACAATGCTTTCAGCATCTATAAACAAAACTTGTCTGTCATCCTTGGAAGCTCTGGATATGGGTAAAGAGCTTCACAGGAATTGGTAAGAAAGTGTTTCACTAGGTTAAGATCCAATGAGCTTAGTAACAGTGGAAAAGGGGATTACCAGTCAGCAACATAATTGGCTTCCCTTTACTTAATTTTCGAGCTGTCTTGTGGCCCAGATAATTTGTAAGCTATTTTCTAATTTTTTTTTTTAGAGCAGGATAGGTCATCAAGACATCATTAAATCAACATTTTGTTCTGGATTGGAAGGAATTAAAAAAATAAAGATATGCTAGATTGGTAGGCTATATAAAAAAGTAATAAGCCAATTGGCAAGTAAGAAAGAATCACAAAGTCAACCAAGGATTGAATGGTAACTTGAAAGCTGAAAAATATGATAAAAAAGGTGTAAGTTATCCAACAAACAACTCCAAGTGTGATTTTGGAGTAGCATATAGAAATTAATTTTTCTGCATAAATTATATTAATGTATATTTATGATCTTCAAAAAAATGAGTGCTATCTAGGATTTGAGGGAACTTTATATTTGAGTCAGCATAGTAATGGCATCTACTACTTACTTGGTAAGATACTTTTCAATAACTTGTCATGACAATTAATTGTGTATTAGTAAATAGCATAGAAGATAAAAGTATCTATCTCCACAGTATACTTAAAAAAGTAAAAAGGAACATGTACTGCTTTTGCAGTTTTTTTAAATCAGAAATATTGTAATTTTCATCATGATACTTATTCTTTTTCTCATTTCTATGAGAAAAATAAAATTAAAATAACTGTACGTATCATTAGATCTTCCAGCATGGGTCTGCCTTACCTAAAGCAATTTATTCACTACCAATACATCTATGTACTGTCAGATTCACGATAAGCTTCGTCATGTTCCAATTTTTAAAATTAAATTAAGATAACTCTTGCTGAGCTAACAGCTCATTTAATTCTCATTTTCTTCCTAAAGCAGGAAGGAAGGAATTTTACCTGAAATAAATTACATTTCTCAGCCAATAATTTTTGTTGTACATCTAAATAGATGAGATAATTTTGGCAGATTGTCCCCTTCTTATCCCATTCTCTTGATTTTGCCTTAAATTCCTGAAAGACAGCAAAACAAGGCTAGTAAACACAGGGACAATAACTTCTTTCATTAATCTAAATAACATTGTAATTTGTATAGTTCTAAGAAAAATCTATTTTTTTAATTAATACATTCTATTTTTTATATATAATATATATAAAAAGTGTATATAATAATATACATTATACATATCTTTCCATAATTTTGGAAAGAATCAAAAAAGAACAGTTCTATAAACCAGCCATCCCCACCAGAAAAAATCCAGACTTAATGGCTGTTAAACTGAAAAAACTGGGGGTTAAACATAGTAATTGAATAAAAAAAAAAAAATTTAAAACACTTCCATTACTGTGGATTTTAGAGTTATGACTATAATATACCCATTTCATTGGAAGGTAGTTCCTGTGACTTTAAAGCTACATCAATGTCAAGTAGAGTAATCAGCAGGGAATCACTAAACCATAGAATCACAGAATCTTTGGGTTGGAAGGGTCCTTAAAGATCAACTAGTTCCAAAACCCCTGCCATGGGCAGGGATATATTCAACTAGCAGAGCCCCACTCAACCTGACCTGGAACGTTTCCAGGGATGGGGCATCTACCACCTCTCTGGGCAACCTGGGACACTGGTTCACCACCCTCATTTTCAAAAATTTCTTCCTTAGATCTAGCGTAAATCATTACCCCTTGTCCTATCGCTACAGGCCCTGCTAAAAAGTCTGTCCCAGTCTTTCTTGTACGCCCCCTTGAAGTCCTGGCAGGCTGCAAGAAGGTCTCCCTGGAGCCTTCTCTTCTCCAGGCTGAACAACCCCAACTCTCTCAGCCTGTCTCTCAGCCTCCGGGACAGGAGGAGGTGTGTTCCACCCCTCTGATCATTTTTGTGGCCTCCTCTGGACCTGTTCCAACAGGTCCATGTCTTTCCTGTGCTGAGGGCTCCAGAGCTGGACGCAGCACTGCAGGTAGGGTCTCCCCAGAGCGGAGCAGAGGGGCAGAATTCCCTCCCTCGACCTGCTGGCCACGCTGCTTTGGATGCAGCTCAGGAGATGGTTGGCCTTCTGGGCTGTGAGTGCATATTGCCGGCTCATGTCCAGCTTTTCATCCACCAGGACCCCCAAGTCCTTCTTGGCAGGGCTGCTCTCCATCCCTTAATCCCCCAGGCGGTACTGATACCGGAGGTTGCCCTGACCCAGGTGCAGGACCCTGCCCTTGGCCTTGAACCTCATGAGGTTCACACAGACTCGTTCCTCAAGCTTGTCCAGGTCCCTCTGGATGGCATCCTGTCCTTCAGGTGTGTCAACCGCACCACTCAGCTTGGTGTCTTCTGCAAACTTGCTGAGGGTGCACTCGATCCCACTGTCTATGTCATTGATGAAAATATTAAAGAGTACTGGTCCCAAGATGGACCCTGGAGGGACAAACCTTTAATATTCAGACAAATGTTTTGAGTGTGTATTTTTTTTTTTTTTTTTTTTTAAATTGGGTAGCAGCTACTGTGAATAAATTTAACTGCTTGCTCTCTTTAAAATCATTGCTTCTGGTTCTGAGTTCATCTAGTTTAAACAAACAACTTGTTTAACAAATTCTATCATATCAGATTTATCTGTATACTGTTTTTGTATTTGCACTTACATTCCTATTCATAGTGTATTTGAATTTGCTCTTAAATGGTACCAGATCTTATATGTTCACAACTAGACTTTAAAGTTCTTCAAAGAACTCCAGTTACTAGCGCTGTTGCTCTTTTAGTTTGAAGAATTAGCAAAATAACAGTATACTCTTTTATACAGTGAAAACTATAATATTTATAAGCGGTTACAAGAACTTCCTTTTTCACAATGGAATTGTTGGTTCCAAAAAGAAAGATGATTTTTTATAATTACCCTAAACTGGTGTATTCCCCAACTTTTAAAAAATAAGATTTTAATTGCTACTGAAACAAGACTGAATGCTTTCCAATATAGATTAATACAAATCTTCACTTACAGCTTTCCTAATACCTACTTTGGCATTTAAAACCAATAACGTCTTCCCATTTTCCAAAATGTGATACAAATGGAGTTTCAGATTACTTAATGAGAACTGCAGGTTCAAGGCCTTACTAAAGCACTGCTGAGCTTAGTAGATTTTCAACACAGTAATTATTTCCTGAATACTAGAATTTGCTGAATATATTCCAAGCATTCATTTTTCATACTGCATAATTAATCAAATTGTAGCATTGTGTTATATTATTTTCACATTTTAATCTTGAAAAAGGTCATTCTCAAATTAACTGGATCAGACAGTTTCACAGTAGTGATATATTTAGGCAACGATAGATGTATAACCCATTTATTATTCTTGTAGTTGCAGATGTTGGCAGCTATGTTGCAGGCCAAAGCGTAGTAGCTTTTCTGATAGTAAGGACTCTTCCATGTGGAAGAGACAGCAACATTATGTAGAGATAGGATGTGTCTAGGATGTCTCCTGTCACGGAGGAACAGTCACATGAAGGTTGCAGAAGTTGGTCCTATATCTTATAGAATAACACATAAGATAGGTAAGTCCAAAATAAAGATCCTAAAACACTTCTTAATTGCAGCTTAAATATGAAAGTACTTAAAAGCTCTTAGATCTTAATTTTTTTATTTTAAAGTTCTCAAAGTGTCTAAATAATCTACCTCATAAATCTACATAAATCTACATCATAAATCTACATAAATCTACATCATAAGCTTGTAAGTCCTCACAATGCTTAGCAGCGAGGCAACTAGCTCACACTTTCAACTGGTATTCCTCTGCTTACTTTTCCTACAGGACCCAGTTCAGTAATTGCTTGAAGCACACACTACTTTATTATGCTCTTTACAAAAGGATGGCCAGAGAAAATGTAAATTTTTTTGTGATCCTCCTAGTCCTATCAGACTAGTGGTTAGACTGTTCTCTCCATATGTGGAAGACTCAGTTTAGTAATCTTCTCTCCAGACAAAATCTGAACCAGAATCTTCCCATGTTAATTTTCTACCTAACAAACAAATGTTACTTTTCAACAGGCTCTGGAATTCTTCCCGTTGAAGTTGTTTCACTTTGCACAGGATACCAGCAAATTTATTGGATAAGTAAAAAAAAAAGACGCAAAAATTAGTACAGTTAGAGATTACAGTTATAAGAAATGAGACTGAATATCAGTTTCTGCACCGGTGAATGTAGCCAGAAGAGTATTTGGGGAGATGCCACCACTTGGAGGCACACTCTGTATTTGCTAGTTTTCTGTGCTGGCTAACTCTCCTGTGGTGGCCCAATAAATATTTGATTATTCCACAGATCATAAAGTAACTTCTGACTCTCAGAAGTCAAGGCCAGGCATTATGATCAGAAATCAGTATCTTCCTGTATCCAAGAGTAAGTCAGTTAAAATCCATTCTGTGTCCAGAGGGATAGGGAATATGATTGAATCCTGTGCTCAGCATCTCATAGTATCTAGCCACCATTCAGTACGTTGGATTCTCTGGGAAGTATTTTTAAGTGCCTAATCCTTCCCCATGTGTTACCTAGGGAAACTAGGCACCGAGGTCAAGGTTGCGAAGTGCCTCAGGCACATGGGTACTGACAAGATAAGTATGTAACAGTTTTCAAATCCTAAATTCTTTTTCTATCTAGCCCTACATGGTCAAAGTTGTCCTGAGTTCTATAAAACTTGAATTAATGGTTATATTATCTAGTACGCATGTGTTAACCAGGAAAAAAGTAAAATTTATTTATAGTTACACTTATGAAGAAAATTATTTATATTAACTCATAAAACTACTAAAACCACTAATAAAACATGGATAAAAGAACAAAACCTGAATAGTGAACTATACACCTTCTCTTGACAGAGCAAGAAAATTATATAATTTTTATATTATTATTATTATGTATATATATAATTTTTATATTATCAGGAAATTAAAGTTTACAACTGGAAACCACAAATTAGTTCTAAAGGCATACTAAAATTATAGTAACAAAGTATTCTTACCTCCATTTTCTTGTATAAACTGCTCAGTTCAGATGGTATCTCTAGGCTTTTCTCCCATTTTTCTCTACTTTGAACCTTTTTTTGTTTTAATTGATGTAACTGTAGCTTTTCATAATTATGTGTCAACTTCGAAAACTAAAAATGAAAGCAGAGTTGAACATTCAGAATCTAGCAAAGATGACCATGTGGCCAAAGCTTTCCTTAAACTAGAATCGCCAACTGCAGCTTCAGCATTCTAAATATTTAATCAATGTAACAAAGAATCAATTAATAAAATTAATTTCTTAGAAATGAACAAGACTAAGCTCTCATATAAATGTTAACTGTTCAAACGAGTTGATCTGACAGCTACTTAATTCTGCTGAAGTTCTTTATGGCACCGTTACCCATAGTGTCACTTCCTCTACGACGTTTATACGAAAAGTTCTACACTTGTTTACTGCCATCTTGTGTTGACATTTTTAACGGGTGCTTCACTAACCAGAATGAAGGATTATCATTAATGTATTTTAAACTTGCATGTTTCTTTTACAACAGGAAAATTGTTGAAATGTGATCTATATGATGATTGCATTCTTTTGGAATCATTAAGTACCAAAGAGTGTCTATGAGAATTAGACACTAAATATTGTTCTGCCTATTGATCTTATAATGAAAACATGGCTTAGGAACAGAGGCAAAGGAGTCAGAGGCAGAGAAGGGAAGATACCAGTAGAAGTACCAGCCTCTTTAGCAAAACGGCCGGTCTGATCAACAGTTAGCTATACTACACAAGCAAAGGAGCTAGTGGCCATTTCCAGGTTTGATATAGCAAACTGACATTGACTGGTAGAGATATGTACATCTGGATTAGGAAAAAAACCCCAAAACCCAAGGATATTGACAAAAGAAACACTAAAAATATGGTCTTGAGGGAAGCTGAATGAAAGAACTTTGTAAAGAATGTTGAGTAGAAAAGAAGCTTCCAACTATGAATACTGATCATGTCTCTTGTTGTTTTGTTCCTTTAAATTCAGTTATATATGATGGTTTACATTCTCTGTAATAATTAGGGCTTCACTTAAAATTTTCCAATTCTAACATAAAATTCTTTGCCTAATCAAACAAAATCCATAAAGCCTGATATTTTCGTCAACTTCTCAAGTGAACTACTGTCTGGAAAAGAAATTACTTCCAAGGACATAATTGGAAGTGGAATGTAATCCTATTGAACCAACCTGGAATGAGCAACTGAGGTCTGTGCAGATAACAACGATGGCCAAAAAGGTCCAGAAAAGATACAGAACAGAAAGTGGATTTAAAAAAACGATCTGTGAACTTCCTACAGACTTTTGACAAGATTTTGGAAACTCATAATACGGAACAGCAAAAAGAATCGAACAGACCAGCAGATAGATCATTCTAGAGTATAAAGTTTCATGAAACGAGGAGATCCAAGGACAGATGTCCCCAACTGAGTAGAAATCCTGTAACATGGACTTACAGAGCTGAGATATCACCTTCAAAATGAAATCAAAAGTCTTGCAGAGAAGCTCCCTGTATTTAAGAATTACCTTGCTGGAGAACACAGTTAAGATAAAATATTTAAAATGAGTCACATTATCCAAACTCAAGCAACATGGAACTCATTGCCTTTGGAAGAAAGATATGCTTTTTCAAATAACAGGAATTTTGTTCTTGATTGTATTATGGAATGTGTGAACTGCCTGGGAAGAGCAAACCCAGATGAAGACAATTATTAGACTGTTCATGCTAAAAAGGCTAGGAAATACAGGATCCAATACTTTAGCAAATCAGTCTAAAATGGAACAGTGGCCAAAATGAGAAAATTTAGTTTGACTATTAGATTAATTTAATGAAAGTAGGGTATTTCAAACAGATTATAGTCTGGATGTTATCACGACAGGAAACTAACTAAAAGCCAAGAATCTTTCCATTTAACACCAGATATTTGCTTTAAAAATAAGGTCCAAGTTGCTCTACTGGCATATTGTACAAGTAAAAAAAATCTGAGGCATGGTACTGAGTTCTGGGATGGGATTTATCTATGTTTAGGCTTCTGAAAGTTAGACATCCGAGCCTGAGCTACTCGGCATTAGAAAAAGCTGCCTCCAAATGCTTAAGTAATTTCAGCTGTCTTAAATTCTCATCATCCACTGAGATGAATTATATTCTACGGGTGTCCATTTCCCCTCATTGATCCTATCGGGAGCCTGAGGTAGCTCAGACATAGCCATCTAGCTTTTAAAAGTCTAAGTGAGGCAATTAGTTGCTAAAGTGCTTAAAGCAAGAACGGCTTCTTATTCTTTTGCTGGGAAATTTCTGTCATTTTCAAAATGAGAATAACTACTAAACATTAATATATAAAAAAATGAAGGAAGAAAGTAATGAAGATGAACCCCTAAATTTTTTGCTATTTAATTATGACAAAATGTACATTTGAATGACTGCAGCAGTGTGGCCTAAGAGTTTCAGGTTACATATCAAGAATTATTTCCCTAATACAAGAAAAATACAGGTTTTACTGCATTCGTCAGGCACACAATCAATTCAGTGGGAATGTTGCTCTTTAAATAGCTGCTTTTATCAGTAGCAAGGGTAAAAAGCACTGAGGACCATAGAAGCAGTATATCAGGGAGAAATTGGAATAGCCTAGGATTCTTAGAGCTAGAAAAAGTGATCCTTTCCACTTCTACCAAGATTAGGAACAAAAATTGGGAGGGATTTTAAGAATACATCTGCAGAGAAAGATACAATGCTACTAGTAAATAGTAACAGTCACACCATTTGTGCAAAACTGAACTGTAGCTCTTAAGATTGTACAGCGTAGAAAGAGGTATAACTTTCAAGTGAGGATAACCAAAAGAAAGGAGACAAAGGAGATAAGGCAAAGATTAATATTGTCAGGAAAGCTCTGTATTTTAAATATGCGTTTGTGCAGCTGAGAATTAGGGACATTAAAGTTATTCTATTGTAGACACTGCAGCACTGTAATTAAAGAAAGGAACTAAGGAGACGTGGCAAAAGCGAGAGGAGCAGAGTGGGATAGGCCTGCTGTCTAGCATAGGTGCTCGGAATTGTTCTGACAGGCAAACTTTCTGTTTATGGCACACAGAATCTAGGCAGGCCTCCTGACTCCAGGCACTTAACAGTTTTCTTCTTCCGTCAATGTGTTCTGGATGGATATTCCATGAAGGAATACGGTTTGGTGAAAGAGGAGGAGTGGGAATCGGAAAATAAAATGCAAATGGCATCAGTGATGGAACCTTTGGTAAAATAAATAGGATGACTGAGAGACAAGGAAATGTTTGGAGGCATAGATTGGGAAAGTGATGTATATTCTTAAGAGCTAGAAATCCAAACTTCTTCCATAAAGATAAAAGGAGAAGCAATCAGGAAACTCAAAGAAGGGTTCGGTGATCTAAGAGGTAACTAAAAAGGAGAGTCTTGGCAAGAAGTATAACCGGTTTACAGACAGAAGCTTGTAGGTTAGGAAGTTTAAGATTCTTTAAAAAAACACAAAGAGAAAACAGATAATATTTGCCCATGGAAAGGGCTTATAGGGTAAATAACTTCAGAAGCAAAATCTTTATGAGAAATGACATGGAGTTTCAACTTCAGAAAGTTCAACTTCACTGAAGATCTTAGCAACAACATGTAACATAAACACAGTCATTTTTAGCATGTGATAAAAAATTTAAGCGAAAAACATTGCAGGAAATGTGCAAAAGGGTGAGAAAAAAGAAATCTGCTGTATTTTGAGGGATAGCTCTGCATTGCCAAAGGTACCTTACAACTTATATGCAAAAAGTCACACCGTCTTTCATTGTTTAATGTTTATCTTCTCAATAATCATGCTAAAATGTTGGGGTTTTTTCTGTAATTCGTGTAAATTATAAAACAGCTTTTGTTTCTATCTACTTTCCCAAATGATTAGAGGTGTTAATTATGTAACAACCAAAACATTCTCTGCTTAATCACAGAACTGTTTGCCAAATCAATTTCCATATATAAAAGAAAAAAGAAATTAAAGACAACATAACATTAAAAATCAATCATACATTTATTGGTTTGATGGATTTGGGTGGTAAGTGTTATCAATTCTAGATGAAAATAATGATACCAAATTTATGCAATCCAAGATGATTCTATGATATGAGAGATGATTGGAAATTTTTAATTTTATAACACTAAATCTCTGGTGGGAGACTCCAGTGAAGGAAACAATAGCAGGAAAACCAATGTAGAATTGTGTATGTTAACTTGCTAAAATCTGAGAACAGAACTGACTGCAGTTTGCTAAAAAATTAGATGAATGACTGAAGTGAAAACAAAGAAGAAACAAAAATACAGGCACAGAGCAAACACAGCTAAATTGAATCACAGAATCCTAGAATCATAGAACCACAGAATGGTTTGGGTTGGAAAAGACCTTTAACGATCATCTATTCTAACGCCCCTGCCATAGGCAGGGACATCTTCAACTAAATCAGGGTGCTCAGAGCCCTGTCCAACCTGATCTTGAACACTTCCAATGATGGGGCATCCACAACTGCTCTGGGCAACCTGTTCCACTGTCTCGCGACACTGATCATAAATAATTTCTTTCTTATGTCCAATCAAAATCTACCCTCTATCAGTTTAAAACTGCTACTTTATGTCCTATCACTTATAGGCCCTGGTAAAAAGTCTCTCTCCATCTGTCTTATAAGTACCCTTTAAGTACTGGCAGGCTGCAATCTGGAAGGTCTCCCCGGAGCCCTCTCTTCTCCAGGCTGAACAACCCCAACTCTCTCAGCCTGTCCTCACAGCAGAGCTGTTCCAGCCCTCGGATCATTTTTGTGGCCTCCTCTGGACCCGCTCCAACAGGTCCATGTCTCTCCTGTGCTGAGGGCTCCAGAGTCGGATGCAGCACTGCAGGGGGGTCTCCCCAGAGCGGAACAGAGGGGCAGAATCACCTTCCTCGACCTGCTGGCCATGTTTCTTTTTAAGCAGCCCGGGATACGACTGGCTTTCTGGGCTGCAGTCACACACTGAAATGAATAAAGCCAAAACAAATTCCCAATGTCAATAATCCAGGTTACTCTAGTTTTTCCCTTATGGAAGCTATCACATCACTTTAATAATCCCTTTAAATGAGGCAAACTAAAACCAGAAAAAATTATAGAAAAGACATGACGGGAACAGTTTCAGTCTTAAAATTCCTAACATGCATCAGAATCTTATTAGCATGAATCTAATTATCTATTTTCTTCATTCACCAAGGTTTTTGGTTATTAGTCCAAAGTCAGGAAATTGAGTATCTGTCTTCATAACGGATGTCACAATCACATCAACATCCATCCAAAGAGTTTGGACATGTCAGTACAGAAATGATAAAGGAGCCTGGTAGGAAGCTGTAGTCATCACCATTTGTATGACACAATTAATCTTTCCCAAATCCATAAAGGGACATCTATACCGTTAGGCACATATAAGCTCTTTACACTGCAATCATAAAAGAATGAAACTGCCATCCTTCTTACCTGAGATTTCAGTGCTTGAAGCTGAGTTTCATAATTCTGAGCCATTTCATATTTAGTTTTCTGTAAGTTTTCCAGTTTCTGCTGAAGTAAACCTACCTACAGTTAAAATAAGCACTCAAATTTACCTTCTCAGAAGTGTTCCAAAATATGCCATTTTTGGAATAGTCATTTGAAACTTTGAAAGAAGACTGTTGCTTAAAGGATAGATATTTAAAATATATATTAATTCAGTAACTTAATAATAAAACTGGATACCACAATGTATGTATCAACATCAAGTTAGGGATTTTATAGTGAAAAATCTCATTGTATGCTTCTGTTATGATTTAATGATAATACTGTATGATTCTGCCATGAAAGACCATTTAATGAAAACATTTCTGACCCAGCTATACGAATGAACTGCTATGCCCTGTTGTGAAAATTTTGCTTGAATGTCTTATATAATCATATAAACTACTTTCAACTTATGTACAAATTATCAGGAGATACTGTGGACTCATTTCAGTCCCTAAGTACAGTGCCATTTGAGATATCTTGAATTATCTGACAATTTCACAGAGATCTGAGAAATATGATGAAAAGCATACACGACATCTGTTTTTCTGGAGGGGCAGCTGGAAACTAGGTATAATATGCTAAAATAGTTCAGATAACATCTCTGTACAGGCAAATAAATTGATGCTTTAAGGACTGGTTGGGTGAGTTATTCTCTTGGCTCCTCTGACTCCAATGACTAAGGGGAAATTCCTAATTGCTCATTAGGTAGAGTTATTCCATTTTCAAAACTCCCACTGGCAGTTTAGACACCTAGCTTACACAAGGATGCCCATGTGTAAACACCCAACTTCAGATGTCTTGAACTAGAACTGAACGCTCTGCTAGGATTTACTGATGCTCTGAATGAATATTCAGCAGACAAGACTGTGAATTACAGACAACAGCAAGTACACTGGGGCTTTCAGTTTGGTAAGCAAGTCTAAGTCGTAATATAATTTGAATCTTCACTATTAATAATAAAATTATCATACAAAGACAGCATATAACATAAAATGATAAAAATCAGGTATAAACAGAAATTACAAAGACATAATTTTGTGAAACTTTTCAAACTGTACCTTTCCATTTAAAATTTCTGATGAAACTAGAAGTGTTGGCATTTAGAAAAAAAATCAAATTATCTTTTTACAGCTAAACTAAGAATATTTGATTTAGACTTTAGGGAAACAGAAGAAATATGAGACTTTCAGTGACATTTTTACAATCACTTTTCAGAACAGAAGCACACTTTAAAACAAAACACTAAGGATAATTAGTGACCTTTAAAGGATGTTTGGTATTTTTTACATGATAGAATAACCAGGTCTCCTTATAGAGCATTTAGAGCATACCATTAACAAACTCCCAGAATAAATACTTTCTTTATAGAATGTGATTTTCTTAAATACCTCTTGACCTTTTTGATCCAGTTTGTTTTGGGCACTTGCTAATTCTTGATCCTGGATATCCATCTTTGCTTCTAAAGCTTTCATCTTCCTTTCCCATTCCAGTTTCTTGCTGTTTACCATGATGTCAATTTGATGCACTAACTCCTGAAGTTCAGTTTCACATGGAGAAGTTCTAATAATATTAAAAAAAATTCTTTTTTTCACATAAAGAATAAGGGAGAAAACAATTTTTTATTTACATTGCTAAGATTTTATTTTAATTCTGATGGAAATAACCACTTTTCAACATCAGAAAGAAATGGGAAAGATAAATGATGCCTGGAATGGAGGTGGAATCTTATTGCATCTATCTTAAATTTGCCTGAAAATCAAGAGTATTTAGCATATTCTGGACTATTTGCCTAGCTTAAATGCTGTTTGATGCCTTCTCACTCTTTCAGGGATGAACTGTCAAATGAGCATAAACTGAGTTGAAAGTATCCAGGCCCAAGCCTCAATGGACAAGAGTAGGAGAAGCTGAATATTAAGTTGCTTAACTTAATATAGGACTTCCCACTAAAGGTACATAATGATGGAAACAGAGTTTGTTGGAGGAAGTTATTCAACAGCTGGCTTGAAAGCAAGTCAGTTTTAATTCTAGTAGGAAGCACAGAAGTGAGTGCATTTTCAAAAAGAACTTGTCTTTGAGGGACCATGTGCTGGATTTCATAGAGATTTGTGCAACATCTGCAACATAAACATTATTTTTTTCCCAAACTTCTGAGATTAAACTCAGAATACATCCCTTACACTACGACTTCGTTGTCAGTAATAGACAATATTTTATATCATTGCTTTAGGAATATGACGTGTCCTAAGTAACAAGATAATGATATATGGTTAATTTATGGTATGTTAGAAAACCGAAAACAGTCAAAGTTGCCCTCTTAGTTACCCTTATATAGAAGCAGTGTATTAGTTATAAAAAATTAAACTTTGTCTGGACAGTATCGAACAATGTTTAGATAGTGGTATATGCCACTTAGCAGATATATACAAGGTATCTGAATTTAGTATGGGGATTTGTTTATTCCATATCCATTCCAACTTTGTATGTGATGATGAATATAAGAAAAATTTGAAATAAGAAAGATATTGATTATAGAAAATTTGGCTCCACATACTTTTTTTATGCAAGAAATTGCATAATTCTTTCTACAATCTAAAACCTTTAATTTGTAGAAATTACTATTTCACATCAAGATTATACTGTCCTTCTAGGTTGTATGAGATTTTTTCCTGAAGTATTTTGGAGAGTTTATTGCTCAGTTCACTTCAATTGTTTTGTTAACTGAGAGCTTCTCTTAATCTGTAAATTTACAGATGACATTTCAGATCTGCAATAATTTATTTAAAAGTCAGAATCTTTCTAGAACTCATGGATCTATTCAACTTTCAGTGAAACATACCAGCTAGAAAAAAATTTTTTATCATAATTAAATAAACCTGTTTATTGAAATGTGTCTGAACATTTTATTTTTCTGAATTACTGCTTCCTATCCACTTTAGGATTCTAGGGTTTGGGAAAAAGATAAAGGAGACAATTTACACTCCTGTCTAATTCCTTCCCATAAAATAAAGAAGGGGAATTTTATTCTATTAACACTTAGAGCTGCTTTTGGACTGTTAAAAAGAAGAATTAGCTGTTGAACAAATTGCTTAACTAGGTACATGAGCCCATAAATTTTCTATAAAATTTAATTTTCATCAAGTCATATGGAGGAAAAAATCAGACTGTTTCCTATCACTATGATTAATTACACATCACCAAAAAGAAGTCTGTTACTTGTCAATCATTAAAGACTTCAATCTGATCTCAGTTTACTTCAATTGAGATATGAGATCAGAATTAGTTAAGACAATATTTTGGATAAAAGCCTTTAGCAGACTTACTCACCACTGTAATGCTCGTTTCATCTCATTTATTGAAATAAAATTATTTTTATCAACTTTTTTTTTTAAATACCAAAACTATCAAGCATTTTTAGTATGTTCAGAGCTCACAGAATGTTGGATGTAGATATTTTTATACTAAGTACCAAAAGGGGCATATATATCACTGAAGTAAAGGCAAACCTTTCACTGACTGTTTTTAACCAGTGGAATAATGTGTTGAGTTCCTAAACTTTTGAAGAGTACATCTTTTTCATTTCACATTCTGTAAACATTTCGTTTCCACACAAATTTTTTAGTAGCATCTGGTTTTAGAGCTTTTTTTATACCTTTCTTGTTTCCTGTTCTTGTTTTAATTGCTTTACATTTTTTTTTCTAAATAAGAGATTCTATTTATAAATCAGCCTAATATACAGCTTCATTACTTTCTTTAGAAGACATATTTTTATCTTATCTTTATAACGTATTGGAATATATTGAAATGTGTCATTGTTAGTCGTTGCAACCTTTTCTTGGCCATGAAAAAAAATATTCTCATTTAAAACCTTCAAATTACTCTTTTCAATGGTATGATCTGATAATTGTAAAAATTTCTGCATTTTTCTCTCTGCAATGATTTAGAGATTAGTGTATCCAGTTACTGCCATATCTAAATGAAGGTACAAATAAAACCAATGTTGTTTCTCTACTGTCAACCCTCTCTCCTTTGTCTCAAACAGATATACTGTTAGTGGTACACCTGCATTCTCTTCATTTTTTTCATCTGTCATAGTGACTATTCATTGTACAAACAAAGTTTAATCTTAATTTAATTACCATTTCCTCACACTTGCATAATTTTTGTCTCTTTTTTTTTGTTTTGATTAGAAGCCTATATTGAATTTCCTGTTGATAAAACCAGCAATTGTATTATTTCATAAATTTGTTAACTAACCCTCCTGATACCTAAACTGATGCAAAAAAAGTATTGTAACCTGTTACTTTTCATGATATAAACTTAACCTTATGATAAACAAGTTCCTTCACTTTATAATCTGAATGCTGTGACATTGTTTTCAGTTATGACATGTTCCATTTTCCTTTTAGTAATACCTAATTATCTCACTGACATTTTCCCCAAAAGTAAAAGTGATAGCCACTGGTTATAATTTAATTGGTTCTTTAATTTATAAAAATCTAAAAGCTATGTATTCTCTTGACTGCTGATGGTACACACCTCTGTGTGCACATGAAGTGCCTTTATGATTGCTAATAATTTTGCAGGCATTCTAACATCTCTGTGGCATGAGGGTTTGTTAAAATGAGCATAGCTATTTCCTTAAAATGAGCAGAGCTATTATTTTATGAAATAATTGCCATAGAGACAGTCACACAGAGACAAAAGATAGTACAGCATTTGAATAACGTAGCAGCAACCTACAAAATGGTTAATGATAAAAAGCACAGCAGTATGCCTGTAACCGCACCATCCTAGGAAGGGTTGGAGAGGATTTCAATACCTCGAATTAGCACAGAATGCCATTTTGTGTCACGAACACTACAATCTGGCATATGTTTTTGGGGGACATTGCAACCGAGAATGTGCCAAGCAATTAGGAACTCTACTTTAGCAGAGTCACACTTAACCAAACACAAATTGATCCATGAACTCAGAGGTAATATCCCTACGGCCAGCGAGCCTTCAACTGCTGAGCGTGCTGTCAGCACATCGCCGAAGAACAGTAAGCTAACTAACATGCTCCTCTACTGTAAATGACTGTGCAAACTCAGCCTTAATATAAGCAGATGCTTTTACTCCTGGTAGTGAACACCACCATCTTGTGTGAATGCTAGCATGAAAATGCTTCCTTTCTTCTCTGATAATCTTTCACATCCCAGCTGTTCAGCCAACTCTCCAAACGTCTGCCCTCCTAGTGCCCTGAAGTCTCCTGTCTGTAGCTTGTGCTCTGAGTCAAGTGCTGGTCCCGGACACTCTGCGTTTCATACCCTGCATGCTCAACTTCTGATTGCACTACTCGAAAAAAAAAGGAGTTCCTTAACATAGAATCATAGAATAGTTTGGGTTGGAAGGGACTTCAAAGGTCTTCTAGTAAATGGATGGGTATGTGTTTATTCAATATATTTTTTTAGTGCTTAAATGGTGCCTATCCCTTGTTTGGATAATTATTACATGAAACGGGAGCAAATTTGTTAGATTTGCAATATCACAATTAAAACAACATGATTTTTTAAAAGTAAAACTCTTTAAAATTCTTATATCAACAAATGCTTGAAACTTTAACATTATTAATCTTAGGCTTGAAAAGGCTCTTTAAATACACACATAAATCTTAATGCCTTTTTAAAGTTAAAACTGTTAGCAATGCCATTTTAAAATTTAATGTGAGTCATAGAATGGTAATAACCAAAGTGCAAGCAAGTAATACACTGTGATGTAGATATCACAAAACAAAAATGCCCCCTCCTCAAGTGCCTGAAACTAATCTCAAAACGGCATTAATGATGCAGCGAACGTGGATTGCTTCTGGGTGGAATATAAAACGGAATTTTGAAAACAGAAGATGAAGCAATACTGCATCAGGACTACCTTTTCTTTGGTAGTTCTATAAGGACCCGTGCCCTTCCAGCCTCATTGTATTGTCAGGTGGCAACACTTCGGTGACCCACCAGCAATGACTCGGCTATCTGATTTTAGCCTTCAGAAATAGGTACTTTCTTTACTGTGTAGCACATGGATCATCTAAACACTGTTATACAAGTGCAGATGCAACCTCTAGCCTGGATCATGAGGTTACTGTTTCAGACCCACCGTGGCTGACATCCTTCTCTCTTAGATTTCACCTATCCTTTTCAGATCATCCCACACAAGGCAAGTTCCACAGCTGTCGCTAGAAAATTTTCTCTGAGTAGTTCTTGCACGTTTCTTGAACCTAGAACCACCAATATAAAAAAGGGGGCTGTTGAAGGAAAAATCCCTTCTGAAACATCTTCTCAGTCTGTCTCCACCTTCTCTGTCTACTTCCTTACTGAGATGCTCTAGGTACACCGGCTGCTGAAAAAGGAGAGCTGTACCTGAAGCTGCAGATTACCGCTGCTGTTCCACTGCGAGAACTACTCTCTATCATGGCTGTGGCATTACAAACAGATCTGCACACCGCAATTATCCCCCAGCTACTAGCACAGAGGTACTACTAGCTTCTGCAACTATTATTTTAGTCCCTTCAGTTTTGAAAGGAGTGCTAACTATCTCCCTCAGAATATGGCCAATCATGTGGTATCACAATCATGAGAATTTATTTTGATCACTGGATATGGAATGTGGAAAACTCTGGTATTTTTTGTTTAATACGCCATCAGGTAAACAGACAAAGAATAAGTTTTCCCATAAAACGAGGAAGTAAGGGGGTTTTACCCATGAATTCAGCATTCCCACTTTGCTGAATGCATACATCAAATGGATTCTTCATACATGGAAGTCATGACTTGTATTTAAGCAAGTAGCTGCTTTTTTTATTGTTGTTGCATTTACTTTGAAACAGTTCAAAACATCTAAAGGTATGTGATTTTTAAAGTGATGTAGGCAAGCTCTTAGTCTTCTTTAACTCCATTTCCATATTGGTGAAAATATTAATATTCTGCTGTCATTAGTAACTATTGATCTTCATGTGACTCTAGATGTTTCCAAATTTAGACAAACCAAAATCCAGATAAGAAGTTTTACCAACTTCAGGACATTATCACAAATGATTTTTGCATTAGGTAGACCTTTCTAGCTCTATTTATCTGCCTTTTGCTTTAGACTTCTGCACAGATCTGTATTTTTCTGGTTGTTTCCTAATGGACATAGAAAGAATATTATTGTCCATACACTTCAGACTAAAGTTGTAATTTAGAGACTGACATTTGGTTCACGCTGTCAGTCTCCACTTCATGCCTTCTTCCCTTATTACTCAGGTTTTCTGACAAATAGGAAAATATGTATGACCATATTTATGCAAACACAAGCAAAATCTATGCAAAACAATGTTCACAAAGATTTACATCTTACATAGTACATTCACTACTTTTTGATCCTTATCAAGAGCCAATATTAACTCCTTTTCTGTTCTTAAAACTTGCTTTAAAAATAGGAAATATATAAAACAGTTGTGATACAATAGCCCATTAGAATCTTCAACCCCAAAGTTCCGTTATATGAACAACAACTGATTTATTTCACAATTTTTAGCCATACAGAATCACACACATCTGTGGATGGATAATTTATGATCTATGAGTTCTTGCAGCTGGCATGTACTACTCATGATTTCTAATACCATTATTCAGCCCTCTTCCCAGTTTTAAAGGTATCCGCATTATTTCTGGAATACTGTCAGCATAGACTGAAACAAATGTCTCTTATCATTGAATGTGTATTCTAAACTACTCTTCCAGATTCTTTGTATAGTTAATGGCAATAAATAGCTACCTAGAATACCTGGTTTATGATGGGACAAATCACTCTCTAGATTCATCTGCAATGGCCTGAAATTTCACGTATATCAATCACAACAAAGGCCAGGCAAGATCTGAACTTTTGAAATAAGCTTCTGATTTGTTAAAAATGTGCCCCAAAAATAGCAGTATTTTGATTTTTTTTTTAATTCAAGTTTTTATATGACTATATTTACCAGGAATATCAATAACAAAAAGAATGCCCCTCAAAGCCAAAAAAAAGGGCCACATTGCTCAGAATATAATATTTTAATGCAGCAATTTTTTTCTATCATGAAAAGTGCACACATTATTCTTCAGTACCACAGAGCACACTTTCAAATCCTATTAAAACTTTATTGGGCCACAACAAGGTGTGATAGAGTATGCGTGTTTCTGTTACTTTAAGAAATACTTTTACACTTAATATGCATCATATTACACAGAATCACACAGAAACACTAGGTTGGAAGGGACCTTCAAGATCATCAAGTCCAACCATTAATCCAGCGCCACCATGTCCCCTAAACCATGTCCTGAAGCGCCACATCCACATGTTTCTTGAACACTTCCAGAGATGGCGACTCCACCACCTCCCTGGGCAGCCTGTTCCAATGCCTGACCACCCTCTCAGTGAAGAAATTTTTCCTAATATCCGATCTAAACCTCCCCTGGCGCAACTTGAGGCCATTTCCTCTTGTTCTATCACTAGTTACTTGGGAGAAGAGGCCAACACCCTCGTTGCCACAACCCCCTTTCAGTGAGTTGTATAGAGCGATAAGGTCTCCCCTCAGCCTCCTCTTCTCCAGACTGAACAACTCCAGTTCCCTCAGCCGCTCCTCATAAGACTTGTGCTCCAGACCCCTCACCAGCTTCGTTGCCCTTCTCTGGACACGCTCCAGCACCTCAATGTCCTTCTTGTAGTGAGGGGCCCAAAACTGAACTTGAACTACCTTGAACTGCTTCTTGGTAATAATGATAAAAGAAACTGGTTTATATGAAAAATAGGTAATAAGTTTATTTACAAATTATAGTAGATTATTTAGCTCATTATATGGGGAAGTACTCTTTATATTGTGGTGTTCCTTGAAAATGCTGGGTGGGATGAGGTCCTACATCAAATCTCACCCATGTTTACACTTCTTTAGAAAGATTTTGTGCCCTACTAGTATTTTTTTAGATTAACACTAGAAGAACTAAACTTGGATTATGTCAAAAAAAGATGTTGTGATGAAAAGTGCACTTAATACTTGGTAAGAACAATTGTGGTTATTACCTGTGCAAAATAAGCCTAAGGCTTTAGCAATTAGTAGCCTTGTTTTTAAGATTTTGAATGTTTCAAGAGCTGTGATATGTAAGTTTATACTGCTGTAGACTAGCAACTTCAACTATGTTTTAAAACAGTTTAAAGTAATATTTCTTAACATTTTAATAAAACCCCACATAGCTTTCATTTTCCTCCCTTTTGTTCAGGGATGAAGATTTTAAAAATTTAAGTAACTAACAGAAACAGTCCGTAGATTATTAGCTAAAGCAATAAGATGTGTTGTCTTAATTATCAGTGACCTCTCCAGTTCGCATAGAAAGCAGCAGAAGAAATTGAGAATCACGTTTGCTTCTAAAATCATTAATATTTTGTGTTTTGCATTTTTAGTAAACCCACATAATGATATTTCAACCCCAGACAGTAAGTCATTACTTACTTAGCAACAGCTTTTTCCTGAAACACTTCTAAGTTCTGCTCCATACTACTGATTGTCGTTTTAACCTGTTGAACCAACAAAAATCAAATAATTCAGATTCTTAAATGCGTGCATTTACACAGCCAAGTATTCATTCTGGGTAGTTCTATGCTTTCCTTTCAATTTCTGTAACTCTCCCTTTGCAAACACAGGGGCAGGGGAATATGGCTCTAATTACAGGCTGGAACAGGCAAGATGAAAACTTCTGGAGTTAACTCAGCAGCTCTCGCACTTCATGCAGCACTGAGATTACCAGAGGTGGTGCTAACTTGAGGATAGCCCTGGATTTCCACAAAAAAGTTTATTTCGGATCATTTCCTGTCATGTGATGTCAATGATTTGCCAAGACACTTGAAAAAATTTGTCATAGATCCATAGCTGCATTCAGTAACCATTTCTCATACCTTCAGACACCCTAATTAACCTATGGCCAGGCTGTAATTGCTCTCAGAGTTTTGGGCTCCCATTGACTATTCGCTCTCTCGCTTAGCAGATGCGGCACTGCGACACACTGCCCTCCAGTACCTCAGCAGAAAGACCAGAACAAGACTGCTGCTGGGAACAGCCCGGTTCTGTGGGTGCAGCAGGACGCGAGGCAAACCTGGCTGCGTGCATGAACAGGAACCAGCCACATCACGGGTGACAGGGTGGCGCGAAACAGCCCTAATTCCTTGTGGGGGTGAGCAGTGGGGCTCTCAAGGGCATGGGTACCAGTAGGTATGGATGTATGGACACCGCCACATGGCACTGCAGTCTTGGCTCCACAGGGGACCAGCAGCTGAGGTGACACTGCCGCAGGGGCATTGGCTCCCCAGGGGACTGGCACACCTGAGGTGACACTGCCACAGGACCACCACCTTTGGCTCCATAGGGGACAGGCACCTGAGGTGACACTGCCACAGGACCACCACCTTTGGCTCCATAGGGGACAGGCACCTGAGGTGACACTGCCACAGGACCACCACCTTTGGCTCCATAGGGGACAGGCACCTGAGGTGACACTGCCACAGGACCACCACCTTTGGCTCCATAGGGGACAGGCACCTGAGGTGACACTGCCAC